CCAAAACCCCAAAACCCCAAAACCCCAAAACCCCAAAACCCCAAAACCCCACGATGACGATTTACAATAGGGAAAAAATAATTTAAATTCAAAATTTATTAATAATTTTATTTTAGCTATTAAAAGAATGCAGTCTCAGCATTAGCAAATGATAAAGAATAATTTGAATAAAAATACTTTTGATGAGTTAACTTTGCAAAATTTCTAAGCTTGGAAAGCTAAGTGCAAGGAATTCTTATAGAATGCTTTGGAAATAATCATTTAACAGAGAGAGGCTTCTTTTGGAAATTCAAATCCATCAAACCCACTCAAACAGGTAACTTAGCATATCTCACTCACAAACATGAAAATTTAGTTCGGGATGCATATCAATAACATGAACGATATAAGATCATTGCTCTCGGCATTTGATCCTATGAACCAAGTGACACCTTAAGAACAAGAAGCAGATGAAGATACCATGAAACCATTTATCTAGGAATTATTTCTTGATGTTACTCACACAAATAGAATAGGTTCAGTTTTATCGGAGCGCTGGAATTTCGCTCTCGCATTGTCACCATTTGCTCAATAAAATACGTAATTTTGCACTTTGTCAATATTTTTTGCGTTAGTAGTAATGTATCCAAAGATGATAAGAGAAGGTTAGCAGATGCATAAAAATCAGGGTATGCTTAATACTTCAAGAAGATGTGTGTACTATTGAGGTCGATCAGATCTTTGCTAATTACACTCCCGTCTTATAATATGAGAACTAGAGTGAAAAAATCTCTTCTAAGTTAAAAATCTTAGTAGGATTTTAGTAATGAGTTTATTTAAGATGTTAACCAAGATTTTAAAACTGAGTACGATCTTAAATATGACATAGATCTCTTGAAAAATGAGTTTTATGACTAAAGTCAAATTAAAGTAAAGTAGCTAGCATCCATCAGCAATCATTTCGGAGATCTAAGTATTGAAGTCTAATATATTGATCAAAATGACATCATCAGGAACTTTCAAAGTCTGCATTTCTTGAAGTAGGATGAGCAGAGAAGAGCAAAACCTAATGCTTTCTAATAATCTTTGATGAGTGCACTTGGACCATGTAATAATTTGCTCTAGGTCCCACAAGGTCAACCTTCTTCATCTTTTATAGTGTAACTAAAGCCCTCGAGTAATATTGGATAAATTAATAATTAGGGAAGATTCAGAGCGAATTCTGATAACACTTATAACTAGTCTATTGCTTAGAGAGCACTTAAATAGCAATATCTTGCTAACTCAAGAAACAATATGAACTCTCCAGGACCATCAGATAATATCATGATTAAAGAGGATTACTTCACTGCTGAGAAAAATAAATTTTACTATTAGATCTCAAATAAGCACTCAGGCTATTCAAATTCTTCAGCTCATTCCAACAAATCCTCAGAATTCTCCAAAAAGGGTACCCCTCCATTTATCCCTTAAATAAATTGTCTGCCTACCACACAGGGCTCCTCAACTGTACTTAAATCATCCTTAGATGGAAATGGAGGTTTCGGAAATTTCGATATGCATGATTTTAACTCAAATCGACCATCTCGTCCGAAGATTGACCCATTTAAGAAATTTGATAATTTGAATACATCTAGGAACAGGAATTACAGATTGTCGTTCGATGAAGGTTCAAAATAAATTCAGAGCCAAAGAAGTTTGACATCGTTGTTCAATCCTGCGAATGGAGCCTAATAGAATTCATTCAGAAAAGGTTCTATAAATATGCTCTTAGAGAACAGTAACTCTAAATCAAACAAATAGCTGATTTTAGAGGAGACACAAAATGACTTTGATCTGATATAAAACCCTTTCAATAATAACCCATTTCACAATGGAGATATCGCAGCAAGCTTAGAAAAAACAAATAATGATGGCATTAGTCCCTCATAGTTTTATCATGTCCTTCCAAGAAAAAGCTCATCGATATTCAAAAACGAAGGAGAAGTCAGAGCATCATTAACACATGAATCTATTAAGAGGATATCAAGTTGCAGTGAGATGTTTCCAGGAGGAGATCCACTATTCTAAATAGATGAGAAAAAGAAGTACATCGGTTTTTTAGAGGAGAGTGATGAGGAAAAAAGTTAGAGTGACGGCACTGATGACAGTGAGGACGAAGACTAAGATTTTATGGAGAAAATAGAATAGTATCAAAATAAGTTATAGAGAGAGATCCAAAAAGAGAATAGCACCTGTTCTAGCAAGCACCAATTTCAAGTAAGAATAACATTGATTATATATAAATTGTAAATAGAATGAGATGAGAAGAAATTTTTTCAATCTTCTTCAATTAAGGGAAATAATCCTTGAAAATAGGAAAAATCAGAGTGCGCTTGTCTTGCCACAATAATAAAGAATCTAGAAAAGATAGTGAATGTCCAGTTCTAGTAAGGATTTTAGGGAAAAATGCCTTTATCCAGAACTCACTCTTGATTATTATGAGTGGGAATAAAATAATATGACTGATAATAAGTTGTGTTTAAGTAATTAACTGAACTAAGTGATTGGAAGAAGTTATGTATCAATAAGTGAAAATAAACAAGTTTAATAATTTAAGATTAATCATTTAATAATAATTATATTAAATTAAATATGAGTGTTAACCCTCATCTATTCATGCTTTCAAGAGCAATGAGATCAAGAACAATGACTCCTATGACAGTCTCCCTTGGTCTTCGTGGAGGTGGTGGCCATTTCCATAAACCCGATCCTAAGGTCTGGAAAGAGTACCAACACACCAGAGTAGTAGCACTTGAAGATATCAACACTGTTCTCTATCATGATTATGCCCCTGAGTATTACGTTCACTTGCATTCTCTATGGGTACCAACTGGCAAGCAAGGTTGGGCTCTCATCTGGATCTACTTTTTCATGATACTCTGCCCAGCTTGGTATGTTGCAATTAAATTCCAGCAAAAGGCTGAATCTCATCTTTTCCCTTCAGTAAGGCCAGGCAAAGATCATGCTCATATGGCTCCTTCCATCATTAATCACTTGAAGGAAAACAATTATGAGAACAAGCAGGATGCTCTCGGCAGAAGAACTGCTTAGTTCTATAAAAATCCAATCAGATAAATGCAAGATATGGAGTATAAGCCTAACGTTGTCAGAAGACTTGAATCCCATGGCTTTAAGTTTTGAAGAGCTGAGCTAATATAGGGAATAGAGTTTATTTCTTGGTTGTATTCAGTCCTCATCAATATTCAAATGTTGGAAGGATGTAGAGCTGCTTTATAAACTCTAATTATTTAAAAATTAACTAAGTTAATCAAGCTTTGGCTGGAACACTCAATAATTATTGCAAAATTACATCTTATATAGCCATTAAAATACCTAATCAATATAATTCACTTATATCCCGACCATTTCACTTCTTTCCTCCGTGTCTCCTGTCGAAATGCTTATCAAGTTCTTCTTTATTTTTGAATTTCCTTCCACAAGCGATGTCTGGACAGTCATACATTGGCTCAGGCATGTCATTTATTAAAGCATTAACCATGTCTCTGAGGCTTTTGATCTCGTCAAGCTCTTCATCATTTGCAACATCCTATATTAAATTGTTAACTTCAAAGATTTTTTCTTACCATAATAGAATCAAGCTCTTCTCCAAGATTTGATAGGATATCATCCAATTTCTTGATTGTATCAAATGTCCAATAGTTACTTTCAACAACAACGTTATGGAGGGCCTTAGCTGAAACTTTAGCTAGCTCCATATCTTCAATATTTGAATCCTTCAAGACATCTATAAGCTTTGGAATTATTCCTTTGTCCAAGACCTTTGCTCTAATTGCCTCATGGATAGTAATGTTTATCACAATACCAATAGTATAAAAGACTAAATCTCTTAGGGTATGATCTAATACAACGCAAATTGCCTCTAAGAATGTCTTGTCATTAACAAACTCTAAGCACAGCTCTCCATGTCTTGAGAGATTAGAAAGCACTCTAACAGCCTCAATCTGTAATTCTTCATTAGTGGTAATAAGTAGGTAACCTTTCAAAGTATTAAACATAAGAATTCTCAACTCATTTGATAAAAGAGGACTCTATGGTACATCATAGAAGAGTATGTTAGTGGAACAGCTAACAGCATTAAAGATAAACTCTTCACTCTTCTCAATTGATCTCTTGCTTACTGACTTCATCATTTGTGACATGAATTAAATAAGCTTTTCTTACTGGCTTTTAAGTTACTTTTAAGTGTATGTTTCGTCTGTACTCAAATTAGCAACTAGCCTGATGAGCTTGATAAGATTGTCCTCAACATTAGCAAAGTTCATCATGGGGTCTTCTCTTTTATTTTTCTCAGAATTTTGTAATTTTTGTTATTGAACTGCACTTGTTTCGTCCTATTAATCTACAAGCAGAAGAAACTTATCAAAGTAATTTAAACTTATCTGTAGAACTTTCGAAAGACTCTTATGATAGGCGCCTAGTTACTCCCTTGCTTCCTCGAAATAAGTGGTCAAGTTGGCTAGAATAAATGAAATTCTTACTGGGAAATCTCTTATTTTGTGATAATCGAAAAGTAAGTCCACCATTAAGCAAAGCTTTTTGGTTTTGATAATTGCATAGGAGCAGTCATTGTCCATTGATACCTTGCTGAGAATTCTTGAGACATTAACCATTAACTCAACATGGCCCTTAAAATTGTCAAGAACATCAATAAGTTTTGGAATGAGTCCGTTAGAGCAAATTTGCTCATAACTTGAATCGTCATTAGAGAGATTTCTGAGAGCTCCACATATCTATACTAGGTTCTGTGCCTTTTTGCTCATGTTTGTTCCGAAAGTCATCGCTCTCTACATGCATTTGCTTAGCATCATTATATATCTTTGCTTAATTGACTCTGTTTGCACCTCAAGATTACTTTGAGTGAAACATTTGATTGAGCCAATAATGTAGTTGACCAAATCATAAATGAGATCCTCATTTATAATCTCTTTCTTGTTCACAATTTAGCAAGTTAACTTGATAATGACATCAGCTTTTTCCAAGAAGCATTAGTGTAAGACTCTAGATAACTAAGGTATCAAATTTTCTTGCTTAAAGAGTATGTCATTCTGTTTTTCCTTAGCATATAGCAGGAGTATCTTCATAGTCTCATAAAGGTAGTTGTACAGTTTCTAGAAATCAGACTGCGTACCGTAGTTTATGTTCTGGATATACTTGTCGAATATCTTGAGGAATATATGAATGTTGCAAGCTGATAATCTCAACACACATCGAGCATATTTAACTGATAGCAATGAGAAACTACCCTTTAGTAGTGTTTCCAAGAAGCATTGTTGCTAAATCTAGGCACTTTATTTCTCATACTCGGTAGCTAAGGTATAAATTCTTGGGCATAGATCCATCACATCTTCTTCACTCACATGCTATTTTTTATCCTTCTGATCCTGCTTTGTGTTGCTACTGATGATGGTGCAGTATCTGCTGATTTCATTAATAACTTCATAGTACTCTGCTAGATACCCACTCATTTCGGATTCTTCCTGCATCGCCTCCATAAGATACTAGTCATCCATATCATCCTCATTCTTAAACTCCTCTTGGTCAATGTCTTTGACTTAGTTTTGAATTTTTTCCAGAGCTCCACTGTAATCCACTTCAAGCTGATAAGATTCTACTCCTTCCATATCCAACTGCATTTGGTTTTCAAAATAGTCTTCGTACTAGTCTTCATCCTCTCCTTCACCATCAAGTTTATCCTTTGTCCTGTTTGCAGACTTAATCTGCTACTGGATTTCATGCAATCTAATTAGATTCTCCATCTTAGTTTAATCAAATCTCTCTTACTCTTCCATTCTAGCATCGTCACCTTATTTCATCAAATCTGTGTAGTCATCTCGTAGATTGCTCTTTTAGCTTTTCAATTTCTTTGGTTGATCACCTCCTGCTGCGGGTCTCTTTAGTTTAATCACAGGCTTTTGTGAGGTTCCCTAAACAGTGAGAGATGGCTATTGCTCATTTAGACCAGCACCTCCGCTTACTGAAGTATTTATTTAATCAGATGACTGCTACTACTGCACTTTTATGGGCTTTCCACTATCAAATCCCTTTATCTGTTATCTGCTAATTCCACTCATATTCTTAAGCGTATCTTTATTAATGGGCTACAGAGCAGGCAATATGTTGTTCCTCGCCTTCTTGGAAATATCTACCTTTTGAAGCACGTTAATGATATTTTAATCCTTATTCTGGCTTCCTGATCTCAAGTGATTCTTCAACCCATTGGCAGACGATGTTGTGGTGTTCTAGCTTGACGAAGTATTGGTAATTGCGTTCTAGAATTCGTCTATTGCCTGCCCAATGATATTCTTCATCTTGTAAGAAGAGCCAGGTCTGTTGGCGTAATCATCTCCTGAAAACAAATGTCTCGGCAAATCCCCTGGAGTGTATGGCCTTGAAACTTCCTATCCCACATGATTCCTTGCACCCTGGAGAATACTGGCTATCTAAGATTTTTAAATTGTAGACATGAGAGTGTCAGTCTCCCCATCATTTGGCTGTGTGAGCTAACGACTGTTTGAGTTGCCTCTAGCATTTTTTGAACTTCCTCTTTACCAAGTTCGACCTCCTTCCATTAATTTAAATTGATAATTTTAAATTACTTGAATTTATCGCCTTATTCAAATTATTCAAACATTTGTGCTGGGGGTTTTGGGGTTTTGGGGG